GTCCACGTACTGGGTATGACGATAAACAACATCCGCGTCCTGGGTATGACGATAAACTACATCCGCGTCCTGGGTATGGCAATAAACTACATCCACGTCCTGTGTATGACGATAAACTACGTCCAGCAGTAAGGTCTCTGATAATACGATTTTGAAAAATAATGTTGCCAGCTGTACGTTTTTGAAAATAATAATAATAAAAATATTACCAGCTATACGTTTTTGAAAAAGTAATATTACCAGCTACACATTTTTGAGAAAAAAATTTTAACAGAAATGGATTCTCGACAAAACAAAAATATTACCAGGAAAAAAAAAAGTTGTCGGCATTAAATGACCCATTGAAGTTGATATGCCCTAAAGCAAAACAAACCAAATCAAACCAAACCTTCCATGCTCTTTGTCCTCGTTTTGACGGGGGCGTTATCGGCAGGACACCAGCCATAGAGTTATGTTAAGTATAATTATTTACCCGCTGCTCCATGCAGCAAGATGTGGCACAAGGCCGAGATTAAAGTGGGGTATCCGAGCCCGTAGGCTCGGGCAAAAATTCCCTATAGAAACGGAGTCAGTTTCCCGAGACGAGACTCTGCCCTTCGGCAGAGACCTCGTCTGGGGGGGGGGTACCCTCTAACATAAGCCAGGTAAGTATGATTTTTATTAAAGATCGTTCATTTATTTTGTGAACTCAATCCTTAGTGAGTTCTCTCTTATACTTTTACTAAGAATAAAGAAGCCATATTAATTAATCAGGGTTAAAAGCTACATAGCGATTGTTACTAATTTCGTTTCGTAGATCATTTTAACTAACGACTTCGCCCCCACGCACTGAATGCTTAAACACCGAGGCCTTGTGTCAGATTATATCAAGTTAATTAAGCAATGGCTGCTTCTGTTGTAAAGCAATGAATTGTGATCTTGTCTAATAGACCAAGAATCTAATGGAATGAGTTCGCCTCTCACAGGTTAGACAAATAATATGACCTTGTGCCAGGCTTATGTTTATTATATACGTAAATATAAAGACAGGCCATTGATTCGTACATACGCTCTTTCTATAGCTCTTTCTCTTTGTCTCTATGCTGTCTTTCCTTTTCTGTCTCTTCTTCCCTTTTTTTCCTTCCTTTCTACCTTTTCCTCTCTATTTCTTTTTCTCCCTCTTACTCTCTGTCGCTTCCCTCTATCTCTTTTTAATCTGTCTCTTTTTCCATATCTCCACCTCTCTTATTTCTTCCTCCACTTCTCTGTATTCATTTCACTCTTTCCATCTACTTCGATTCTTCATTCTTAATCTTATTTTTTATCTTTTGCCTTCCGCTTTCTTTCTTTCCTCCTTCCTTCCTTCCTTCCTTCCTTCCTTCCTTTCTTTCTTTCTTTCTTCCTTTCTTTCCTCCTTCTTTCTTTCCTTCCTTACTTTCTTTCTTTCTTTCTTTCTTTCCTCCTTCCTTCTTTCTTTCTTTCTTTCTTTCTTTCTTTCTTTCTTTCTTTCTTTCTTTCTTTCTTTCCTCCTTCCTTCTTTCCTTCCTTCCTTTCTTTCTTTCTTTTTTTCTTCCTTTCTTTCTTTCTTTCTTTCTTTCTTTCTTTCTTTCTTTCTTTCTTTCTTTCTTCCTTCCTTCTTTCCTTCCTTCCTTTCTTTCTTTTTTTCTTCCATTGACTCACAAATAGGGTCACATGCGCTGAGAAAACTACGACAGAGCAAAAAAAAAAAAAAAAAAAAAAAAGAATGAAACTTTTTAATAATATCATATTTTGTGGAACAGCAGACCCTTTACAGATTGCCAAAGGGCTTCCAGGAAGTTGGTATGATCAATCAGTTGTTTTTCCTTTTACTCCTTCTCTTTGCACATGTCTCTCTCTATATATATATCTATCTCTTTCTCTCTCCTCCCCCTACCACCTCTTCATTTTTCTCATCACTCCCCCACCCCCGATCCCTTTCTCTTCAATGCGATTTCGACCAAAAACGTCCCCACCCTGCATTGTGAAGATGGTTTTGTTTAACACGTTTTAGGTAAGGTGGACACCTGGTACCACGATAGTAAGAAGTGAAAATAATAAGATTTCGATGGAGAGAAAAACTAGTGACGGGGGGGGAGAGGGGGGATGAAAGGGGAGGGAGAGGGGAGGGATGAAGAGATGCGGAAGCTGAGTTTTTTTTTTGTAGTTTTTTTTGTAGTTTTTTACTTCATATACTTTTTCTTTGTTAGTCGAGTTTTTCACTTGACTTTTTCCTCACCTTTCGTTTATTGTATTTTGTTTCATTATTTTTTCGGGTTTTCTTTCCTTTCTCTTTTGCTTTCACCAATATTTTCTTTCTTTCTTCATTTATTTATTTTTCTTTCTTTCTTTATTTCTTTCTTTTTCTTTCCCCGCTCTTACTTTCTTTCTTTCTTTCTCTCTTTCTTTCTTTATTTATTTTTTCTTTCTTTCTTTCTTTATTTATTTTCTTTCTTTCCTTCTTTATTCATTTACTTATTTCTCTTTCTTTCTTTCTTTCTTT